AAATATTGAAGTTGTGGTGGCATTCGGAAGGAAAATCTTACAATTCCCAACCCTTATTCTTCTTAAGTCTTTAATATGTAATTGTGCCTGAATTATAACGGATAGGTTGGGGAAAAAACGATCGGATAACTTCACTATGATTAACCAAATTTAGTTACTCATACCCGGTTCTGTGGACTGCAAGTTATAAATAATTTGATGACACCCATGTCCGAAAAAGAATCTGGGTTTTCGGCACTTTAAGTAGGCTTAATGACTCAAAGTGTTGTATGCTGAGGTAGAGATTTGACTTTTAAATACCACTCGCTATGAATTGCACATCGATTTATATTACCGAACGACTAAACCTCACTCAAGAAGCTTCTTACTTGCCTTAGACATCACAATCTTGAATCGTTCCTCGTCAGGACCCACCTTATCTCCTCAGATCCATCTTGGTGACATCAAGTAAGTCAGAATAGAGAATACTTGAGGCCAATAGAACCGCACAGAGCAAGTAGTACTGGGTCATAACACGCATTTACTGCTGTTTCCTACGATTAGATCGGCTGCTTGTGCTCTTAAAAAATTGACACAGCTGCTGGAGTTTGCTGTATTTCACTTTTCGCAACAGTAAATGGAATGACAGAGGTGGTTTACATGAATGTATCTCTCAGTAGAAGGTATGAATGGCGATTGCTTTCACTTATCTCTCTTCCAAACATTTTGATCCTGAACCGTTTAACGCTGGTGACAAATACCTTACGAATGCACTCATACAGAAAATACCATGGTGTTTCATGCCTTCCAAGCAAAGAAATAACTATTTTATTTATTGTAATTATTTTAAACACCGCTGGTCGTGATGAACTACGGAGTTACAAGGCTGTTTTCTATGGGACGAGTACCTTATACAGAGAGTGTTTAGATATTCTTACAATTATTTACGTACTAATCATTTAATGTTCATAAGTATAAAAATCCAACTTAATTTTTCAACTTGACAAGGTAAAACTGGTACATCGGAAATATATGAATCATTCGACAAATCGTACAAACATAAAATCTTAGGTAAAGGCCTAAAACCAAATAAACAGTAACATTTTGCATAATTTGCGAGATGGTATTAATGTAACTATGAAAACAAGTAGGAACAATAACAATTAAAATTATTCGTTTTTATTGCCATCTTGGTTTTTTAATGGGCCCATAACGTCTTGCAACTATTGAAACTTGCTCACATCGAGTTACAAAAATAAATCAATTTTGCATCTATGAAACCTATAACGAAAAACACATAAAATCTATTGGATTATGTTTTCAAGATAAAGCAAAAGTTACATTAAGGTAAACAAACGATTTCTTATGATTTCATTATGATTGACCTACCTAATAGAAATTATTGGCTTTCCACATTCCTTGATTTCATTTTCTGTCAAATGGAATATTTGACGTTTCAATGATTTAAGCATTTTTTTACTTACGACTAATGTTAATTCTGAGTGATTTTAAGTTGTGTTTCTTTTTGTCATTGGGATGAAAAACAGTGTTAGATGGTAGGTATTGAAGATAATAAACGTACGAATTTACAAAGGCGTTTAAGTACCCAATCTTTCATTTGGTTTCACCAGGACCAGAAAGCATCATTTTAATGTTTTCATGCTGCTTTGGTTAAGGAAACTGTGCTATATGAAATATTTTGGTTTTTGGAAAAAACAGGACTGATTATTCTTAATTATACCAAATAAAATAAGCAATCTCGCTGTAGAAATCAGAGACCTTTAAGCTCGTCTAGTAAGTCTGAATGCCAATTCAAATTATTTTTTTTAAGCACGAAGCCTTTGCAGACATTGTAGTAAGGATTTTCGGTAGTGCATCAAGGTAACAAATGCACACAATCTATCTAATTGCATTTAAGTTTTTACACAATTTAATATATCAGTAATATTATAACAGGATACGTTAAAAAAGCAATAGGCATTTAAATGCATCAACAATTATTAAAGCAGTCATTTATGTTTTGTCTGTTTAGTCGGTTTTTTACTGAATCACTACTGTCATTGACCTTGAAAACAGTCAAATTTCATGGTTTTTGATTAGGCCGATAGATTAAGTTGAGCTGTTGGTGGAAACATAGACCTTTCCCAATATGCGTTGTAAAAAGTCACTGACATGGGGATACCTAACGGTTTTTGGTGCAGCACTTATTCACATTTCGTTTGCATACAGCTCCACTATCGGCAACATGAACTCATATTTAGTTTCCTACATGAATATTACAGCTGGAGAAACGGTCTGGTTTCATGCAGTGTTAGTTTCTGGCCAGGCAGTTGCAATGCCGATTGGTGGTTTGTTGGAATTAAAGATTGGATTTCGTCCAGTTGTAGCGATCGGCTCAATTACTTGCAGGTAGTTTTGCAGTAAAATTTATTAAACTGTGTTGGGTCTTTAAATAAAACTAATAAACTTTAGTTGCAATTCTATTTTTATTTTAGTGCTGGTGTAGCACTCTCAGCGTTGACTGTGAGTCATGGTATTGGCCCTTTTATTGTAACATACACAGTTATGTTTGGTCTCGGGATGGGTCTGCCATACACAGTTTTGTTCACATTAGCTGGTGCTGTAAGTATTTTCATCAGGTATTTTCAGAAATAAAATATTGTATCTGGCATAGGGAATTTCTTTTGACTGACGATTTCGTTACAATATTTTACTAACTTTGGACTCTCAATTAGCACAATTTTCGTGAACCCTTATACACCAAGTTACGACAAATTATATTCTTAATATGCCCACACCATATGTTCTCTGGTCGAGAGTAGCACAATAATGCAACGGCGTTTTGACATGTAATGCTGCAGTTTTGCGAATTCAGTGGTTTCCAAAACACCGGGCATTTGTGATTGGAATAATTCTTATCGGACAAGGAATTGGAACTCTCCTTTTTACTCTTACGCAAACAGCTTTAATTGACCAGAGAGACTTACCAACTAATAAGTAAGTTTGTTTTTATTATTGTCTGTTGACCATTTGTACCCTTAATCAGGTTTCTTTTCTTCACAGTTCCCTTGTGCTTAAGAAACTACCCCAATCCTTTTTAATTCTCGCTTCGATTATGTTTGCGTTCCAATTCATCGGATTTTTCCTTTGTCGTGCATATCAACCTGGTGTAAGTGTGCCCTGTTAAAAACAAATAACTTGAAACCTGTTACCTTTGCAGTAACTATTGTTTATATTAAGACTGACAGCAAGGGATGTACTAGAAAAGCATCATATGAACTGTGAGTCAATATGCAACCCAGCCTTCAGTCAGGCTAATCGTTTGATGCTATACTTAGCGCAACCAATTCTAACGTTTCTAACCATGATAACTTCATTTATCACTTGAATGACACAACGCCTATTTCTTTGAACTAAATACTTTTGGCTAGTATATTGCGCAATTTAATGTAAACAGTGCCTACTAAGAAATCAAAGTATATTTTAAAGAAATATTTGACTGAGTCAGTTTTAGTAAGATGACGAAATGAATTCTGTTAAATAGGTTAGTTGGAATTCGCGGCACTAGTTTCCTTGTGAAGATAAAAGCAGTAGTATGACCAGGGTCTCCGGTTTCTAATGGTGGATGCTTTTCTCAATTCTTTTTTTAGAGAATTTGATGACGATGTTACCCACCAATCAAGCACGAGTGAATTTGAAAGCGGCCCAAGGTAGCGACTCTAATCTTTGCAATGCGTCCGACTACCTAGTTTTTGTCGCTAAATAACGTGAATATAACTGCATTCTTTATAGTCAAATAAGTGAAATCTACAACTATACAATCAGCGAAGCACTCAGGTCTATCGATTTTTACCTTCTCGCATTTACGATTTTCATAAACACGATCTCAGTTACTTTACAGTCTTCACTTTACAAGGTACGGCTTGGGCTATGGAGTAAGTAGCCTTTGTTAATATGCTGCGTATATATGCGTAAATATGACATCATTAGTCTGAAAAAAGAATGGTTGTGCAGCCAAAAATGTTTAGATAGTCACTCTTCTATAATGGACAATGTTCCTGCAAAATCAGCATCATTTACGCTTTGTAGGAATTTGGGGCAGCGAATCATTTAGACAATGGATTTCTCTCAAAGGTGGCCTCTTGTACAACCTTGTTTAATGTCCTCGGACGGGTGATTTGGGGCTTACTTTGCGACCACATCTCTTTCAAGGTAAAGTTTTTTTGCATTTTTCGGGATATTTATGTTAAATTGGCGCACTAATCTCGTTAGAAAGCGTTGTTGATACTCTTAGAAGCCCAAAAGTCATGGTCTTTTTAAACTGCGTATAAATATTGCTTATTTGTGGGGTTTTAAACGGCAAAAATTATGTATTGCCTTGTCACAGCTAATCTGTTCGATTCATCACCAAGCACATCATGGTAACAGGCATAAAAAATATGCATGAAATGCCTCAAAGAGTCTTTTATGAATAATGTTTTTGTGGCAGCTCCCCTTGTCTTGGATGCTTCTTCAGTGGGCCCTCTTGTTTGCTACCTTCCCTCTGATTACGAAAGCAGGCGCTTTTCAGCCCCTCTTTGCAGTGTGGGTGTTCCTGCTCTTCTTCACAATGGCTGGACACTTTGTACTCTTACCCGGAGCATGTTCGCGCATCTTTGGACCAAAGTACATGGCCACGACGTTTGGCCTGCTCCACCTAACTTCGGTAAGCACACCTTATCCCAGTAAAGTGGTGTCACTGATCACGTACGTATTGCATAAGTTGTTTGTGTCAAGCAAGAACAGTCTTCATGACAGAGTCATGTGATAGCAAAACTGCCGCAAAGATTGGAAATCAATATGTGGAGGATATGTTGAGCAATTTATGATGTGCATTTGGTGGTATCCAGTTCAGTACCTGCTAGAAGACTCACGTATGCCTAGTTGATGGGCTTGTGTATCCCCTTTAGGCACCGAGCGCGCTCATTCTCTCGGCAATCATGTCACATTTCAAAATCATCAACGAATTCAACTTGGTATTCTTCTGCTGCTGCGGACTGTGCATTTTAAGTGGGTCTTGTGCTTTATAACGTGCTTGTGAAAGGTCTAAATATGTTGGCTAAGGCTATAACTTTATAACAAAGTGGTAATTCTCGTCTAAGCGTTGCATCGTTAGAGAAACTTTCAACAATTCTAGCTGTTCCACGGTACTTCTCAGCTATAACATAGTAGTTATAAATTGTTTAAAAAATGGACCAAAGATATGTCATAACTTAACCTTAAAAATGCACTGCCATTTGCTAGTTAATGATGCTCAGGCACTCGAACCATTGAAGAACCAAAATCATATCTCATTTTACCTTTGATTGAATTATTGACTTCCGATTTTAGGTTTTGTAAATTCCCTCTTCATAAAAGACGAGCGTGGAAAGTTTGGCAAAATCACAAAAGTGTGTGCAAACGCATGTGATTTTTGTCGCCCAGTTACTGTCGTAGCCCTAAACTGGGATGAAGAGGCAGAGGAGGGCGATGACCCGGGCTCAGCAATCTTTTCTCGTGCATCCACGACTTAGGGGTGAAGAGCCACTTGCGCATTACCATCAAGTCATTTTTGTTGCTCCTTGTACAAAACTTACTTATTGTTTATATGAATTTGCATAAATAGGTTATAGTAAATTTGCCTCTTAGCTTGCGATTTACGTGAGTCAAATAGCGTCTTTTGAAGGACAGTATGGTCTCCTAATGACATTTATTGGAAACACTCTATAATCACCATGTTAAAATCGAATCCTAGCTATTATTTGAAAAATGTGAACGTTTGAGTGGGTCGGTTTGAATTCGGTGAGTTCTGGATTCACCCCAGGGTTATTTCTACAGCGCACCGTCGAGTTGCGATAGCTATGTGGCCATCGCTATGACATAATGCTTTATACAAAAAGGGATCAATCTAATTTTTTTTACTTTTGTCGTCATTGTTTGTTACATTTGTCTAGAAACATATAATGATTTTAAAGAATAATTGCTTTTCATTGCAAAGTATCGTTTTCCACACTCAAAAGACAACCACTTGAATGAAGTTAGGAGGCTTTAGAATTCAAAACGTTAGCATTAAGTTAGGCTGTTTTCTGGCTAGTTCAGTGATTCCTGTTACAAATCTATTCCATTTCTTTCAGTTGACAGAATGCTCATATTGGACATCGTGATTTGGCAGTAGTTCACTACGACAATGATCACATCCTACCGGATTTTTATCACGGCTCCGATTTTAGTTTTTCAGATTTTCAACAACACGGTATTTAGAAAAATTATGTTTTGCAGGCAATCTGTGGCACCAAGATCTTTGGCGATAAAGCTGTCAGTGCCAAAATTAAATCGTGTAGGTTAAACTATGCATAATACACACATCCCTCTGTTCTGATACCTACAAATGCGAAATCCAACTTGTTTACGCCGTGGCAAATTATTTGAGCCTGTCTTCGTAAACTCGCCATTACACTTACAAAATTGATAGAAGTGACCTCAGAACTATGTAAATTTTCAATCGTTCTAAGTTAGACTTGTGAAGAATCCACACAGTTGGGCTTCTTTACAATTAAAAAAAATAGAGCTGATCCGGTGAACAGAACTTTATTGTCACCCTTAATAAGGACACTTGCAAGTTGTCAAGGCTGGTAAATAAAGCTCATATTTAGCGGAGTCGGCAGAGCGTCAAACTAAATTAGATTTGCGTAGATACGCGGATATGATTCCTATAACTTTCAGTGCTCCTTAGAAACAGCACACTTGCCATATAAGAATAGGCTTAGTGGACTACACTTGCAAGTAGTAGATTCTAGGCGTTTCCTGCATGTAGGTAATGTTATTCTGACAACGTTACCACCGCTGAGGCATTTGATTTCAAGCATTCATCCTTCATCAGCTTCGAATTAGCCAGCTGTTCTAAGCAAAACATTAATACAAGGTCAATGTGACAAGCGTTATCGCATCGAGTCACAAATTTTAACTCAGCCTTAACCTAGTGAAATATTTTAAGAGGACGGAAATCAATCACAAATGACATCGATCGATAACCAATTACGATGTAACACCACTATTTAATCACCCTGTCATCCAAACCATAACACATTTGACATCATTCTCCAAATTATCTTTCACCTCATGAGTCTTCATCTCTTTCAAAGCACACTTTTCATCTCGCGAGACACAATCAATGTAGCTTACACTACCCTGTTGGCAACACCTCAAAGAATTGGCATCAGCAAAAACCCAGTTAAGCCCAATCCTACATTTCCATCCAATTACACTCAAACAATGCCACCGCTGATTCTAGCTGATCATTGATTCACACCCCCAATCAGCTGCCGCCCCCAGAAGCCCACTCTCCAACTCCAAACCGAATCCGCCGAAGCCGGGCATCTTGGCAGTTGGCTTCATTGGCTTCACCTGATTTGAGTGCAAAGTGCTCACTTGGTTATTTGGGAGAGGCGTTTCACTGGTGCGTCTTAATATGGACAGTGCCAATTTCTACCTCACGCCCACGTCCACCGTCTGTTCGTGCCGTAGAATTCACACGACATCAATTTCTTCCCGAATCTAATTGACCACGCCAATCGGTTTTCACAAAGCTTCTGATGATTCAACCTGTCCGCAGCAATTGCGTGGCTAATTGTCTCAAGGTACAGAAAGCAGAAGGAAATGAACCACTGGTCACGTCACAAAAATTCAGAACAACCTCAGCCGTGGATTCTGCTATGCAAAACTCTGGCCAGATGTTATCTTCCACAGGTTCGTCATTCTGCAACACTGCCTAATCGTCGTTAGTTTGACCAGAACAACCTCCAGAGTGTAAACTCAATGTACGCATGCAATCAAGACACTAACATGCATGGAAGCGTGTTTGTTCCAATCATTTGCAATCAAAACACCTGGTGTTATAAAACCTGTCAGAAGTGCAAAGAAACAAAGGTAGTTGGTGTGTGTGTGTGTGTGTGTGTGTGGGCATATCCGACCCCAGTAATTCATGCTGACAACTGTAAATGACCAGCGAAACAATAGGTTCCCGAGTCCGAGTGGATGGTCATGAAATAATGGGTCGTACCAAGTCATGCTGATTGTCAAACCTTTCGTTTGAATGTAAACTACAATTGAAGTAAGACGTCATGGCCTACGCCAACACAAAATGTTTGCGCATGTAACCGGAGATGAGTGAGGTAGGCTTCCCACCAAAGGCTGCAAACTGTTGCCGTTGTTCAGCAATGTTATGCCTGAAATCGACAAGACGAAGAAAGGTAAATAACTCGTCTGTGTCCTTTGGATTGAATGAAACTATCTGAAGATTTGTGTAGGATGTTTGTCGAACAAAAAAGCTGAGGGCCATTTTCACTGTCGTCAGCACGCAGCCATTTAGACATAGGTATGTGTACTCGAACAAGTTAAGTGAGATGTCTTGGATGTGTCAATTTAAAGCTAAATTGCATCTGCCTTTGCGCAGGGAACTATCACTAGCTTTAGAATGCAGTTCATTTTGTGTAAGTGCCTTTCTCTCTCCCGGCGGTTTATTTTTAAACGTGCTTCAGTTTGCAGTAAACTGCAAACTGCCCGGGGGATAGGGGTGGACAAAACACACAATCATATTCCGAATACAAATGCAGATTTTGTCTTTTATGTTCTGCTGTTCTGGTACGAAATGCGTAAACTTACACCATCTTCTCAGTTCAGAGGCAGCAAAGCAAAAACACTTGATTTAAACCTAGGTGCACGGAACGCCTTAAAACCTTCGAATATTCCGAAGTAAAGATGCTGTTGCGTGGCATTCCCTTGCTAACGGTTAGCTACTTTCAAAAGACGTATCTAATTGAAATGAAATAAAGACTGTGTAATAACAAAATTAAATTGGAGACAGTTGAGTGTCGTCTTTCATTTGATACTGTTTAAGAATGAAGATGGGTTGTTGGGTTTCGGTACGATGATTTTCCTCTATAAAAAATCTTCAAAACCGTCGCACCACAGAACCATGGTTCTTGTTCACCAGAATTAGAGAATATCAATTTCACGTTGACAGCTAAACCTACAATGCAAGAAACTGTTATCTAGGCAAACCGGAGATGCACACTTAAATGCACCTAGCGGACGGAGAACGTAGTTTCTAGATTTAAGCACAGTTCGGATGATGTCGTCACCGTGCATTTAGTGCTTCGATACTCATCAAGCAGCACCAAGACAGAAACTCGTGATTTACGAGCTGGATGGAAATTAGTAATCGCATATTGGAATCCACCAAATAACATTGAGAACATTAGTGTGCATAGGGATTGTGATCTGTCAGTGCGTTTGAAGTTCACAGCAAAGAGCTTGTGCCTCTTCAACGCCCACAGCACCTACACCCCCTTCCTTGTGTGTGAATGATTTGAATAATCATTTGGGGCGAGCAGCAAGCCAACACAGCAATCGTGAGCGAACGCAGTTAGCAAGTGTGAGAGAAGACAATTCAGTCGATTAACTTGAATGCACTTCACGTCACTGCGGTCGTTCAGAGATCGTTGAATTGCGAGGCTATATAAACTGTCTTGTTACCTTGTGCACACATACACACACACACCGCTACTGCATTAATAAGTTGAGCTGCGCTTTATTTGCATCCCTTTTCCCTCTCTCTTCGGTTCGACCTTGTCAGTGCAGATCAAGGGCTCTGGAGTGTTTCCCAAACCGCATCAGGGCCTGCTACATACTTATCAGATCATGGCAGTTTTCTCCCACCTGTCACCTTAAATAAATGACAGTTCACATTGCGTACATTAAGACGGCTAATAATCATCTGAAGAGTCTTGTTTTTGCTTGTGAATCGAGAAGTGGAAAGTAAACCAATTACACAAAACACGGCTGCCAAATTTACCTGGTGGCTTTGCTTTGATAGATTCTCTTCCTGTTGAATTCATGTGAAATCTTTTCGAACGCCATATTAACGCCCTCTACTGACTTGGCCCATTTAATAACATTGTAAGACATCACTCTTCATTCAAGACAGACCTCAGTATAGGCTTTCTCATTACCTATCAGACACCTGTAATGTCTACTCTTGACGGCATTTCAGACATTGAAATTGCAGCGGCTGGTCCCAAATAGACAGCTTACAGTGAACATTAAAGCATGCCCTGTTATTCATTGCGGTGATACTGCCCTTTACTGGGCACATAGTCGCCATGATACGAACGGCACTGTAGTTGCATGATCGTGAGTATTTAACACAATTCGTGGTATTAAGCCAGATCAAGTATCCGCTAAAAGCATTCAGTCTGCGAAATTCAATGCAGTAGTTAGGCAAAGCACCTGTACCGGTTGTGTTATAGTGTTTGGTTAAGCAAATAAAGCCGAACAACCACAGATTCTCTGCTTTACAAAATGAAGTGCAACAAGTGTACGAGGATGCACACTCATTTTTAAGGGTTCGAATGACGGTTGGCGTCCCGGATAATTTTGTACAGACTGCAATCGTATCTCCACTTACAACACACATTCTCACTTATTCTCTTTTGCCGCACTCAGTGTACCAGTGATGAAAACCAGATTAAAGGAGTCCCATTAAAAATCGTATGCTTAGAAAAATGCTTTCTGATGTGTCAGTGATTAAAATGACAAAATTTCGTTGTACTGCGTATTCATTTATGTTCTAATTACCTTCAATTTACGGCATGCATCTACTTAGTTGATTCTAGTTGTTTTGGTTATCGTGACGACCAACGTACGCACAAACCGTCAAATCGTTTACCCACTGAGCGCAATTGCCAACGAGTGACCAAGGAGGCAACTCAAAATTCTCCGCAAAGCCATTTTGTCATGATCATCAACCCCAATCTGATCATGCTTTAATTTTAAAATCAAGTCTTTCATTATCTGCATTTAGCCCATCCTCCTAGTGTTACTAATAGTCAGTTTGTACTAAAGAAGGCCAATCATGTATTGGTGAACACATTCGTCAGAAGACATCTGTTTAAAAAAAATTTCCAGTACTTTATTTCTCATGATAGTAAATACATACACATCTGAAAGTCGGAACAGCTTAGGTTACAGGTCAAATGTTTCATCGTAAATATTCGAGTCTTCGAAGTCCTCCTTTTCCGCTTCTATGGCTGACTTTGGAATGGAACGACACACATTGCACATATCTGCACAAATTCTTGTCGAGCGACCCAACTTCGATTGAGTATCTTTCAAAAATATTGAGATAAGGAAACCTACAACAGGAATTAAAGTAAGAAGTGGTACAGAAATTGTTCCCATCTTTTACTGAAGTGCCATATTCTAGTGGAGGCGAAATACTGGCTGATGAGCGATTGCTACTAACCAGGATTCTAAGTTTTTTTAATCGTACTTTAATTGGACAGTGGTTGCTATTCTCCTTAAACGGTATTAAATTGCCCAGCCCACTTGACGCCTGAGAGAATCCTTACAAAAACCGTTTATAGTGAGAAAAAGGGAAAAGCCAATTTTCCCATTGGCCAAATGCTAGACTGCAAGATTGGGTTTATTTACGGCAGCAGTATGAGGACAGTTACTCATTCTACCACTTGGCCATAAAAATAGAAATAGAGTACTTACCTAGACAGCAAAGTCCGCAACAGCAATAAAATACCAGGTCAAAGTTTTGCGCAATGTCGAATTGTGACACGATTGCTGCCAGAATAAGGGCACTTGGGGCCTATAAAGTTAAAAAAACTCCTCTTTTACGGTTTTAAACTCCACAGGGCTTTAAAATTAATGAAAAAAACGGTGAGAAGAAGGCATGAAAGACATGGAACGGCTTATCATTAATCACTATTCTTAGTCCTTTTTACCATTATGTGTGCGATCCAAGTTTATTGCCCTCGGAGGCAAGGGCTCACGTCAATACTAGGGTGGTCGTGGCTACTTACTGTTGTGAAGTAGAGCAATCCATATGTCGTGGCCATGTACTTTGGTCCAAAGATGCGTGAACACGCTCCAGGTAAAAGTACAAAGTGTCCAGCCATTGTGAAGAAGAGCAGGAACACCCAGATAGCGAAAAGTGCCCTGAAAGCACTCGTCGTGGCAATCGCTGGAAAAGTGCCAAATAGGAGGGCCCACTGAACAAGCATCCAGCCGAGAGGGAACTATTATATTGGAAAAAAATCTATGTTTGATGCAAAACTTATTACGCGATAATATTGTTTTTAAATGCAATTTAAATCCGAGAAATAGTAATGAAAAGTAGCATTACCTTGAAGGAAATTTTGTCACAGATCAAGCCCCAAATAACGCGTCCACTGCAATTGAATATGGATGTACAAGTAGCCACAGTTGACAGAAATCGATCATCTAGGTGATTTTGTTTTCCAAACACCTACAAAATAAAAAGCAGTACAGTTTGCGTGATGGAAATTGCCCATTAAAATCAAATTCATAATTATCTTAGATAACGTTATTGACTAATATTGAGCAGCATTTCATTAGTTGACTTCGTTAAAACAGGTTTGAAATTTTTCACAGGTCGTTTAATCAAAGAATCCTTTTCTTAAAACATAAAGATGCCAAAAATAAAAGTAGTCAAAAATTTAGTTAAACGACATGCACATACCTTATAGGAAGAAGCCTGCAATGTGATTGGGACGGTGTTTATAAATACCAAAAAGGCGATGAGATAAAAGTCGATGGATCGAAGTGCTTCAGTGATTGTATAGTCATAGGTTATTTGCACGTGTCTGCAAAGAAGAAACGCAAGTTTGTTTGAAGTGGGAAATCAGATATGTCCTAGTGTAGCATTTGGAAAAGTTAAATCCTTACTCAATTTTATGGTCAGGCTTGTACACATCTGTAGCAAGAGTTTGGTCGACAGAAATTTCTCTAAAAAAAGAATTTCAAAGACAATATCAACAACAGAAATATAAGGGTCATTAACAGCACACTGAAGTCATATCACGAAACCCTGGTTATTATGATTTTGTCGCCGGTTTAAATGTTAGTCATTATGAATGATTAAAATACACAAAAAGTCGCTGAATCTGAATTCGTGGCTTTAATTTTCTCATGTCACCTTTAATGCAAACTTCTTTGATGTTATTTTAAAACTGCAATATTATATTTTGTTTATGATAGCTATCAAAGGAAGCATGGTTTAAGAAATGCCACTTTACTTTTATTATCCAGAAAGATTATACCTTAATATTTAGAGATAATAAAAAAAACGCTGCTTTCGGTTATCGTTGAATCATACAAAGAAATTGCAAACTCAGTTGTAAATTTAAACTTACAGTTCACTGGATTCCTCTTCAGCTTTTTCTTCTTCTTCTGCCTATAATATAACACATATCGGTAAAATTTTGATACAACTAATCGGACATAACTGCGAGGTTGACTTACAGGAGGCTTATATTTACGACATAGGAAAAACCCAATTAATTGCAGAGCAAACATGAGTGCGGCAAGAATGAGGAATGATGTAGGGATTCTGCTCCTCACTCTTTCGCTATAAATAAATAAACATTTCAGGCGTACGGCAAATGAGGCAAAAAGCAAAAAAGCAATCCAAAAACTTACTCTGAAGTGTCCAGATTATCTGGGTTAATTAGGGCTGTTTGAGTAGGTGTAAAAACCAGAGCACCCATTCCTAATCCTCCAAGAATTATTCCAACAACAACGGCCCGATGCTTAGGGAACCACTATAAATATTGATACGCAAAGGTCAAATAAGATTATGATACACTTATGCCTGGAATCAGGAATGCATGTGTAGTAATGTAGATCAATGCGTCAAAGTAAAAAAGTAAAATATCCATCAGAAAATGCAATGCTATATTTAATTTTAAAGCTAAAAAAGAGCTAAAGTACGTAAAGTACTATCAAAAACTTTGTGACAGCAAGCACTTACGGCTGCTGCGATGGTGAAGAGAACCGAATAGGGCAAGCCCATTCCAAGCCCAAACATAACAGCGTAAGTAACAATGAAAGGACCAATGCCATGATTAACGGTCAACGAAGACAGAGCCACGCCACCACTAGACACAAATAAGAGAAAAAAGATTATAAAAAATTGAAACCGAAAATCACAAGTAATTAAAATTAACTCCATAATACCTGCACATAATTCCACCAATTGCTACAACAGGCCGAAATCCAATCTTGGACTCCAAATAACCACCAAGTGGCATAGATAGAGCCTGCCCAGATATGACGACTGCATGGAACCACACAGTTTCTCCAGCTGTTATATTCATGTAGGAAATTAGGTATGGGTTCATGTTTCCAATGGTGTAGTTATAGCCAAGAGACAAGTGGAAAAGGGCGGCACCAACAATTGTTAGATACCCCCATATCTTGGACTTGTCGCAATGCATTTTAGAAAATGTGAAGAGACGGTCATTACCCTCATTTTTATATTAGCGGCGCGTCTGAAAAAATAAAACAAAGTAAGTACCAAGGTCAATATTTGAAATAGATTTTCTGACTTGAAGAAGCATTATAATTAAAAATGATTTCATAAGTCTTAATAACTAAATATGTAATTTAAAAAAGTTCAAAAGTTTTACATTAGACCTCCAAAAAATTAACTTACAAAATCTGCCTGTTTGGTTGATTTGAAGTGCTCTACATTTGCTCTAGAAGTCCCTTGACAGTCATATTTGTCATAAAATACATTCAAGGGCTTGTTTATCTTCTTATTTGCTTTGCTTTAAAAACCAGTTGGAATTTTTTTAATCAGCATTTACTCTCCATATAGGAAGACTAATAATGTATTCACGTGTTAGTTCTTTTACATGAGACTAATATTACTGAATTAATGCGTATTTAACTCTTTATGCAATAAATTTGGTGATCAAAGTACAAAAAAGAAATAATTTCTTACATTTCTTTCTAATGCAGCTCAGGTAATTGTGTGTGATATAATTGATTCGCAGGTGCCAGTGAAAGTCTCATTTAGAGTTTTGCATTTAGCCTAATAAAGCAGCGTAGTGTATTCCAATCTTATCTTTATTGGTATATTCATAACAAAGTTGGTTTAAGCCCTTGTCTGATCATGCTTTCTGCACAGTTTGCTCAAATAAATTGGCAGTATAGAAATTTTGATTCGGATGCGATTATAATTTGCAAAAAATCATCCGATTTTAAGCTACTTCATATTTAATTGTTTAGTTGAATCTATTTTTCCGCCTACCGAATTCATCTTAATGGACATTCTTTCACCATTTTAAGCTTACATTGTTTGTCCTGCCTAATATGCCTGTCTAGAATACCATCGACTAAGACCTGCACTAACTGAATCGTGGTGAGTTGAATCCGCATTAAAACACACCCAAAAGATGAATGCCTAGACCCAATTCATGTTAAAAATGTTTTCTTCCCTGGCCACTAGACTATATGCACGCCTAAATAGAGCGTCAAAAATGCTGTCCGCTTATATTTGCCTAAAAAATTATGGCAGATATTCATACATATTCATAATTATAAAATATTGTAATGCAGTGTATTATAAGCATAAAAATAGTTCACTAAAAAGCTTTCAGGCTAACAATCGGATGCACACGCCGTGGGTAATAAATAACCAGAATTTATTTTTTTAAAAACCGACATGACGAGTACCTTTTCTAAATCATAGGAATTGCAAACTTCTTTTATGGAAACAGGGTAATATTAAACAAATTTCGACTGCTTATATAATAGACAACGATTTCCTCGTAAACAAGACAAACTGAAAAAAGGGTAGATTATAATTAATTACTAAGATAAAGTGACTTGGGTTATTTGAAAATCCTTGGCACTGCGGGTGAAAGTTTTGATAGTCACCAAACTCAACAAAACAGATCGTAGTGAAATGCAGATGCACCCAGTTATTCGAAAGTGCAATGCACACACCATATCTTAACAGGAAAAGCCATGATTCACAAGGCAATTCTACTATTTTAGGGCAGATAATACGTAATTATGACACAGTTTCACGGATTGACAAACCACAACTAAAAAAATTGCCCGGATTCCAGGGTAAATGGCTTGGTCTCTGACTGGTAGACACATTAGTGGGTGTGTTTTAAAGCAAACGACTTTTTATTGGGAATAATATAATCTTGATCCCATAAATGATAAAGTAAGATCAGAAAAATGGAATATTTGTTTGCGCTAGCATTGGGTTCATGTTGCAAATTGAGCGGGGATTGCGGTCAGTCCTGCCCATATTTACTGTGCCTCATTTTGTGAAGCCTAGTATTTGCACTCGTTCGGTTTTATTCGTTTAACCAAATGCGGACCTACGGCAGGCACAGGTGCTTTGCCCAACTACTGTATTGAAAATACACCATCAACTTGGCTATTCGTAGTGCATTATCTGCTGGAGATTCCAGAAATACAATTTTTGTTACCTCAAGGACATTCACACATATTAGGCGAGATATTTAACTTACAACACCTGAGCTGGCTCTAGTTTATACTTCTGAGTTTAAATGTATATGCACTTTCAGTAATTTCGTTACACATCTAAGGCATCTTAAAAAACTAGTTCGAGTACATGAATCTATGTCTAAATGGCTGCGTACTGACAACAGTGCAAATGCTCATCAGCTGTGCTGTCGGACAAACACCCTACACACATTTATAAGATGGGTTCATTCAATCCAAAGGACACAGACGAGTTATTTACCTTTCTTCGTCTTGTCGATTTCAGGCATAACATTGCTGAACAAC